CATGTCTAACCATTCTGTATGGTGGTAAAAAACAGCAGACATAAGATGGGTTTGGTGCCCACACCTATTTATCACAATCATCAGGAAGTGGTAAAGTACTGACGGGGAAGCCGCTAGCACAGCTAATAATTCCGTTTGTACAACCTTAACTAGTATGTGGATAGGTTGTGCAAAACAATCCAGTGGACTGTCAGGCAAAGATATGATGCAAAAGACCGAAAGTTTTGCTAAATATTTGCGAAACCTGGACAGATGCAAACAGGTGCTTAACAGATACCGTTTATGTGCACAAGAAAGCACTGTCAGTAGTCACCTACGCATTGGCAAAACCTATAGATAAAGCCTGTACATATGTGTATGCTATTCACTATTTTACAGTAACATATTTTATGTTGGATATATTATGCATACAAGAAAGCATTGAATGCTCTCACTGACACATTGGCCACACCTACAGCTAAAATTTGTGCATGGATATATGTTACTCACTATTTTATAGTAACATATTTTGTGTTGGATATTTTATACATACTGTTTTTAATAGGGTCTTCAAATGTATTGCCTACTACCCTAAATATACTGAACCAAGATCAGTGACAGATCAGTTCAATTTGAAAACGCGCTGAGTCAGACGCTTGACATAGTACCTACAACGCCGGAGGATGCGGAGTACTGCAAATCAACACCGGTGAACTATTTATACCAATATCTCAGAAATAAAGCACTAAGTGCCGGGCATGTCGGTTCCGGTCTCGATCTAATGAATAAAGGTGTTTACGATTTGCAGATCAAATCAATCCTGGTTGATGATAGTAAGTTTTAAAGAGAAGGAGAACATAAGGATCAAACTGGGGGCGTAGAAGTCTAACACATAAAATGTCTTCAGACACTGAAAGACGCGGGTTTCCTTCGTGAGCAGGAATCTGAAGCTCTTAACCCCACGAGCAGAATCCTCCAAAGGCTATGTGGTTTAGCAGGCATGCACAAATCAAACCTTCCAATACATCTGATATAAGACATGCGCAACTGCAAAGTGACTGGCAGAAACGTTGAAGCCTATTGGACATCAAATGGCGTCGCGGAACGAATGAGAAACGATGGTAATCTTAGATGTTGCACATTCGTCCACTAATAGTGGGCAAACTAAACTGCAGCCAAAAAACCGTACCTTTTCCTGAGGCAACCTCCTTTTCACTCCTCCAACGGAGGCCAAGCTTGTTCTCTTTGTAGCGAGAGAGGTCGGCCACACAGTATTCTTTGAAAAGACGGTCCCAATAGCGCTTGGCAAGCCGCTCTTCCCTAAACAGTTGCAAAATGAAGGAAATCAAGTTTTAAAAAAAAGATTTA